AACTTTTTTTTTTTTTTTTTTTCTCGACACAGTGTGTTTACGCATCAGACACAAGACTATTTCATTCTAACAAATTTATTTTCTCAATCAGCTCTTACGGAATCACTACTCAAATTAAATTACAATCAAATTATCACATCAAAAGATACCCTTATTACCTAACAACTGTCCATATTTTCATTTCATTTTTGATTTGTGCTCGTCTGAAAAAAACACGTAATACAAGATCTGGGGAAAAAATAAATTACCGTTTTGCAGCAGTTCATAGGTATTCTGAATAAAATATTAAAAGAAGTCATTTAATGAAAATATAAAGCAAATTTTTTTTAGATCAACAACGGATCTAACAATTCTATATTGCCGTCTTTTTGAAAAGTCTGTTTATTAAAACCTACCAAAAACACTGCTTGGAAATGGCAGTATTATATAATCACATCCACAGCACCCATTCAATCAAAGTTGGCAACGGATTTAGGAGAGGAGAAGTTCAGATAAGTGCAGCTGCAGATGCTCAGTCCTTCTAAATCCCTTTATCTGAATCAGTCCAGAAATAAAAAATAAAAATATTAATAAAAAAAATATTAGCAGTGGATTTTTTTTTTTTTATGACTCTTCCATGATGATTGGCAGCCGTCAGGAGCAGGACTTTGACAGCCCTAAATTATTTCCCTTTCTCTCGCTGGTTCCCTTAATTCATGCAAAGTCCTTCTACAGAGCTCGAACTTTAGGGACCAACAACCTCTCCTTCTCCCACCCTCCCCCCGGCGTCTGTCCCTCCCCCCTTTCTCCTCAGGGTCAGTTTTTCGGCGTGCGGGCATTTATTTCCATATTTTTGTTCTATAGCTATACCTATATATATAGATAAATATATATATATGTATTTGCTTCCCTATGCAGTCTGCTTGTTTTTAGTGCTGTGTGCATATTTTATTATTTTTTTTTTCTTTCCTGGAAAAAGTGGCCCCTTTCATTTTGCAGAATATATAGATATATAGATATAGATGTTTTCAGAGTGGATGTCTGCCTTGCACCAAAATTCTACGGTTTGGCCAAGAAAAACAGGGTGCTGGAATGCAGCAGGCACCCTCTGATTAACCAGATTATTTTGCTTCTGCTTCCCTTTTTTTTGGATAGCTCCCATTCAAAAAAAAAAAACAAAAAAACCAAAACAAACCAAAACAAACAAACAAAAAAAATCCCAAAGAAAAAAAAGGAAAAGGGAAAAAAAAAAAAAAAAAAAAAAAAAGAGGAAGCTTTTGCCCTTTATCTCCGGCTGCATCCTTTAAGCCAGATATTTCATCTGGTGTCTGAAATTATACCCAACCTGATTCATTTAGGTCTGTGCTTTACAGCTAAATCGTGGCCAGCTTCACTTCAGTTATTTCTCTTGCTGGAGCAATGTGTTAGAAATGGCATTTTTTTCTCCTGCCGTTAGAGAAGCGGAGAGCGGAACGAAAGCAGCGCTGAAAATCTGGGGACACCCACGGGCTCTTTATAGTCTTGGACAAGTCACAGAGCCATTCTCTGCATTTCTTCTACAAAGCAAACAAATCTCCACCCAAGGAGCACGCTATAAAATTGGTTGGAAAAGCCTAAAACTCTTAGAAAAATGTATAAGGGCATTGTGAAAGGCAAGCATTGTTGGTTTGGCTTGTTTCTGGAGACAAATGATGAGTTGTGGGAGTAGTTAAAGGGTGTATTGATGGCCTGAGAACTGGTGTTGCATGTTGATGTACCCCAGCT